CGGCCCTTACAGGGACCTACGCCAACGTTTGCAATATCCACAGTCCCATCCTGATTCGTTGGGAGATTACGCATCATGTCGGCAATTGGACCCAATTGACCACTACCAAATTGCCAAAGGTCGTCATCCTTGGTTCCGCTGAGACCTTTCGAAACCTCCTTCTTGCCACAAGCCTTTTTGTGAACGGGCCAGTCTTCGTTCTGGCAGGATCTGGCAGATGAAACATGAGGCATGATGAAGAAAGATTATAGTACTATTACGCACTGAGAACAATAATGTACTTCGAATTTGAGTTTTGATTTGCAAGTACTACACACCATAAAGCGAACGCCTTGTCCGATGTCTTCTGGTGTTTTCGTACAGTTCTCGCAGCGTACAAGGGGTTTATCCCTGAGAGTAGCCTTTGCCAGTGCTAAAGAATGAGCAAAATAAGTTCCTGTATTCTCCACGATGTTCAGGACGTCTTTCATCCCCATGCTACGATGGGTAATGTCGTGTAAAATCGACTCCGACGAGAACAGCAAGAAGAGACCTGATGATTTATTTTCAGAGACGCACCATGTTTATAAGCAGGAGAAAACTCACCGATGAACGCGTTCCTGTCGATAGTTGCGGTTTCAAACACGAGTTTTGTACTTTTAGATCTCTGTCTGCTAGCATCATTCGACGATGTCTGTTTCCACCATGGGTTTGGTAGATTCGACGCCTGTTCCCACCACGAGTTTGGCAGGAACGCTGGATCAGACGAGTCGAAAACCTCCAAGAAACGAGTGAGAAAACCGATAAAACCCTTCCCGCCCTCCAATAGGAAGTTTGAAACTGTGACATCTGGACAAAGAGCGCGATTGCCTTGACCCCAAAGCGTACCAGGTGCCTCGGATGCCTTCTCAAGACCCTGAAGAATATGTCTCCTCTGTTCAGAGGCATCCAACAACAACCAGATGGTGTTAAATTGCCCTCTGTGAAGGGTCTTGCGCAGGCTTCGAGCTGCGCGTTCTTGGATATTGCGGAGAATCAAGCGCACGGACTCCATGTCAACGTAAATGATGGAAGAATCATCCAGTAAATAGGAAATCTCCTTGAGGACGTCTGCTGCTGTTGATGATGCGATCGCCGCCTCCCACTCCTTATCCCACTTGAGGATGTCTTGTTTGATATTAGTGATGTTGAATTTGTTGCACAAGAGAGGAAAGAATTTTGCAGTTTGGTCCTTGGTTGTTAATGCCATTCCTCTAATTGATGACTGACAGCCTACAGATTGCGAAGTAAGATGGGAGGATTAGACGCGTTTAAGTTTTAAAACCAGCGCTCTCGCATCGTAATACTCGGATGCCATTATACCAAATGTCGGTGTGGATGATTGTGATGGTATTCTATAAAGAGAAGGCAATCGCCTTCAAGACGTAAAGCCTCCGGCCTCATGAGGTAAAGTACTTATATATCGCCAAGTATGATCCACGAGGCCGCCTGTATATGTAACAGTAAGTCTTAGCGCATGAACGTCAATGTAACGATGGGTGCTCTATCTGCATGCTTGTGGTTGTCATAATAATACAGTGCGACATCATGCATATAGTACACAGCGGATTCTAAATCTATGTCACTGCTGAGTGTCCGTGGCAACGTGTACCGAGTTAAATTTCTTTAGGCTGACCGCGTCAAAAACCAACTCGGAATTCCTTCTCCGATCAGTCTACGTCAAGATTAAGCGCGAGATCCTGTACGAGATGAGATCCCTTACATTTCTACTACATTCGAGGGGAATTTGGGCAATCTGATATCCTGGTTAGCTGTTGATCATCGAAAAAAGCTTCGGCATCATGAGCCAAGTAAGAAAAAATGACGGACCCTTCTCTCAGTTTGGTCTCCATTCACAACGGTGAAGTCGGTGTAAACATGGTCTCGTGGACGGGCTATCAACGTCGACATGAGGGAAATCGTGTAAAATTGTGCGAGAGATTCATTGAAGACCAGATGCCTGTAGAGTATTAATTATTGTTTTAGAAAGCATACCAGAGATGTACTTACATGCCGTCGGTCTGGTGAAACCAAACCTGTAAGTTGGTCTTTGATGCGAAGCAAACGGACTCACAAGCGCTATATATACAGCCAGGTCAATGAGGGTCCATATTGCTGTCAGCAGACCGGTCTGCAGAGTGACTAAAATACCAATTGCTCGCTCATTGACACAGGAACCGACTGAGAATCAAGTACCTCGTATTATCTTTTTGATGATATGATCAGTGTCCATAAATCCCGTTTTGTGTTCACTCTGTAGCATGTTAAAGCATGTATGCCAAAATGAAGAATGACGGACCAGGGAACGGACAAGTAACCCGGTGATCAGGAGGTTATCCAAAGCAGAAGAGGCAAGGCCGATGACAAATACGATTTCAAACCTATGAAACTGGGCGAACACAGGCACCATATTGATCGCAACTGTGGTTCCAATGCCACAAACTGGTAGCCATGAGACAACAACGGTGAGTTTGAACAGTCAAACTACCTACGGAATGCAGCACTCGCGAGAATAACCATGATTCCAACTGGCCAGACACTAGATGTCAAAATGCGGATTCTCCAGGCGAAGAAAAACTGGACGAGGGAGGATACAACACCCTTGTGCATGGTCAGCCGGCAAGAGGCTTACGATCAGAGAACAAAATACCGCGATGCCAGGTACTAAAAATGATATGGGCGATTACTGATATGCTAGCAGATGACTACTTGAAGAGAAGTACGCACGTATGGAGAAAACTGGAAATGTCGAATGAGAACACAGTGGCGCACGATTTATGAAAAAACAACACACCCCAGTTGGCTCTGGTCAAACTATATTGGTCGCCTTTGTAACAACTAGTTTAGACCTTGCATCCAGTATAAATGAGAATGAACACACCAAAGTGAATGATGAGAGTATCATTCAAGAAGACGAACTGCAGAATGACATTGGCGGTGCACAACAACAGAAGGGTTGACACCTGAAAAGTAAAATCAACCTGCTGTCCACTCATTTGAAAAATGCCTCATACAAGAAGTCGTATCCATGGACCGTCACTGGGAGAGAATTGATTATAAAGTGAGTATTCATATTGGATCGGATTGCTCACTTTTTAAAGGAAGAAAAATATACGAGTCCTGATGTGACCAGCGCGCCGTACAAAATTGTGTTGACGGCAAAGCCTACGAGTAAGGGGCCAAACCTGATTGCCAGTGAGTGCGCTGGTAAGACCAGAATTTGAAGACCTACGAGATTCCAGCAGCAGTAAGCGGCATGCTGGACACAACCAATATGTGGTTATTGAGCTCCTTCAAGCGATGAGGGGGCTAAAAGACTGGGAAAATGGCGCAGGGTTCTCATATAAGTAGTAGTAGATAGCCCATCCGCATCTTATTCTCGTCCGATTAAAGCGTACGTTTTCAGGGTTTAAGTCAGGGTGTCATTGATAATTCTGAGAATCTACACAGATCACGAGATTTTTTTTGTTCTGTTTTGGAAGGTCACCGCGGTCATATTAATATTAGACCCCGAGCACATTTATACCTAGACTTGGACCAGACTCCAGATCTAGAGTAAAGGCCGCATCCTCGTCTCTAATCAGCCAGAATCACGTTCCCGTGCTCACTCAGTCCTTCCAAATTTTGGAAGTTGCCACTAGCCAGCCAGTCTATGTAGAAATCTATTTACTTGGTGGAAAGCATCGTGTGACCGATGAGTCATTATGTAATTAGTGTTATAACAGGCTTATTCGGCCTCGAACTTCATTTAGCCTCTTACATAATTAAATTGTGATACTGTTTTGCTACTAGCCAGTTTATCGTTTACTAGAGTTTTAGATCGGCTCCCAACAGGTGGGAACCACGAGTCCTTGAACACAGTACTGACCTCAAGGCCTCTCGGTAAGGATATTTCTTCATCCAAGTTCACCGCCCTTGCGCGTATCTATTCTGTGCTGTTCAATCACATTCGTGTCGCTCCCTTAAGCGACCATTGCCGAGCTAGCTGCTCCGAATTCTGAACCCAACGTCCCTCCGTGCGCTTTCACCTCCTATAGCCTACGCACTCATCAGCACCAACGGACACGTGCCCCCGATTGAACTCACCACATCGACGCTTACAGTCAAACACATTCCTTAGGCGCTTCTCCAACTTCTTGGCTTCTTCATCCTCGTGTCACCATCTCCCTCGTGTCTGCCACCCCTGCCATACAGGACTTGGGTGTGAAGTGTAGCATCTTCTTCACAATCTTTTACATATGAAATTTTGATCATCAACCAACCTAAATTCTCATGTCATTAATTTTCTGGGTGAGAGGAGAATGTAATATACAATTATGCCTACTGATGTGGCAAGAACACGTATGTAGACATTGATATTTAGGACGCTATGTATACTACGAGGTAGAGCGGCAAGCTAGGAGAAGAAGAAATTCAGGATGCAGTGAAAACCACTGAAGAAAGAATATGAAAGCCGCGGCAATAGTGAGGATTGATGGGAAGAGGCAACGAGGGAGTGTTGACTGCGAGCACGATGGAGATCTGGCGTTAGGTCTTGGCGCGGGCGTGCCGCCTAGTATTGATGCGCTGTCACGGTTCCAAAAAAGAAATTAACTGGCGACGACGGCACAGCTAGGCTGCAGGAGCGGGATTGGTGTCAAAGGTCACTTGGGCAGGGTGCAAAGAGATGCGGCAGCGTTCAAAGGCAGAGGATACTGTGCGCGAAGACCGCAAACTCGACTTGGACGAGTAGGACAACGAAAGCATCATGTAATTGGGACAATGAAGACGATAATACATAGAAAAGGATGCATACCTTTCTCCGACACATCATGGTTTACGGGGTCCAACCTTTACTAAATAACGTCAGTTCAATTGAATGGTTACAGAGCCGAAACGCTAACAGTCGCCAATCAGAGTCTCAATTGCTCCTTCTTAATAAACAGAAAGATTTTTATGATGAAGATGATCAAATAACTTCTGTGACGGTAACCTGAGTAAGTGTCACACCATGAGTCGAATTACGAATACCGGACCAATTAGTAAGAGTACTTTACAACGAGGAGACTACTTAGTACTTAGTGCGCGCGTAGCATCTCCTCCAGTCCAGCCTTCCATATCGTCAAATCGCCGTCCCACTCGTTAAGGCGCCTCATTTTTCCTCCTTTTGCAATCGAGGTATGAGCGAGCATTTCGCCGTACCTTTGTTTGCGATATCCATGTTGGGAAATGCAGTACCAGATGATACCCTTCGTGGATAGGACTTCTCCCCAAGTTTCTTTGCACCCTTCCGCGCAGCTTGGGATTATCTTCAATAAGCGAAGAAGCGTACGCCAAAGGATTCGTGGCAAGTAGAGCCATAGAGGGGGATCGAGCCCTAAATCAACCGGGAGGGCGCATGTTATCAGATATCATGATACACTAAGTATCAAAGGAGATAAGTCGTCAAGTCAAAAGACGTACAAATGACATCTGTTGCATGTTCCGAAATGACCGTGTCGCGGTGGTTGCCGTCAATCACCCATCCTCTGGAATCCTGTGCCATCGCAGCAATAATTCTTTCCTTGCACTCGTCATCTGAAGGGGTTGTCCACCCGGGTCCCCAGAGAAGTGCATCCAGGGAAATATGTGGCACATTGAGTTTAGTGGCAATGTACGCGCTGACGGTTGACTTGAAAGAGATGTTTTCAAGACTTCCAATTTTTTATCCAAGCCTACCTTGCCAGTGCCTAACAAATACCCATGAGTCGATGAGCAATGGGGCCATGAGCAAACGACGGGCGCACCACTATTGCCTACAACATGAATTCTATAGTTGCCCTTACCGTCACCAAGCAGCGACGGGATACTCATCATGATAGTGTGAGTCAAGAGTTATATAAGTCACAGCCTTTGACGTTAGAAGGCTCTCCATCCTCGGAGCTGTTTTCACACGGGTGAACTGGTTCATGATCAACAACGGCGCTTGTTAATGGAAGGCAGCTATATATACACGATGAGTAGATACTAGAAAAAAGCAGTGAGACTTATCTGTGATACAAAAATTTTAAACTTCCTCCATGTCGTCATCCTCGTCTTCGTCTTCGTCCTCGTCATATTCATCCACCCCCATATCACCGGAGACTCCTTCTGGAAGAGAACTTGGTCCAGATTTGATCCCTCACTTCTGAAAAACAAATCTTGACTAAATTGAAACTCCAACATTCCATTGTACTCTCCGCTCCGATTCAAGCTAGTAATAGCAAGAAGTACCTCTTTGAGACATGCATCGGGCCGCTGGGTGTACTCGCACAGTGGCTTGATGCTCCACCAGTTGCTCGCGAAAGAGCTTGTGAAGATAAGATCCAGGAGTTGGTTGCATGGCATATGCGCCATACGCTCCTTGGCAGGTTTGGGTCGAGAGGTTGGAAGAAGGAATTAGCACTGTCGACTTGAAGCTGCTCTTCTCCTGTTTATCACCCTTACCAGTACCTAGAATTTCATGTCCTCCTGCTGGTCATCAATCGCCCTTCTCATTCGAATTTGTCAAGAGCGAGCTGGTATGGTACGATTGAGTGAAAGATACAACTTACAATTCCATGCACTCGCATATTGCCTTCCAGCTGTTAGCTTTTCATACGCTTTGAGCGCCGATATAATGAGGGCTCGCAATCTGACCGATAGTGTGAAGTTTGAACTGTCATATTCGACCTCAGAGGGAGCAGGACCTATAAATAAAATAAGCGGCAGTCCCCGACTTTTCACAAGCCTATCAAGATTCAAGTGAATCAGATCTACTGGCACACACGATGGTCTCCACGACGTTGATCTCATCTGTCCCACGATATGTCTCCGCTGAGGAGCACAGAAATATCGTAGGATCGACTCCTGCATCGTTCAACGATATCCCTCCCGTACTGCGCCACAAGGAGGACAATGTACGCGTTATGCTCGATCCTCCCCTCCAGACATTCACCGAACAAGATTGCGCGAATGGAACGTTATTCGTGATCGAGAAGTAGTTATAGTGATAAATCTCTAATCATCGCTGCATTCTGATATTTCGTCCCTCACAGCGCCCTCGTCTTCATGTCATCAACCGGGGTCGGATTTCAGGTCCCGTACCCTGCCATCACCCTGCACGCAATTGCGCGTCCAGAATCTGGACCATCAATATACTGTCAGCTAGACGAACTCACTGGAGAACCTGGAGCAGCTGAGTCACCTGAAAATGATGAAGCCTCCGACATGCGAGAGCTGAGCATCATTCCGTCAAATCCTGCCTCTCGTAAGTTTTCTGAGATCGAATCGCGTCACACATACTGATAACAGTTATCTGATCAGTGGAGCTGATATTTGAGGCAATGTCTCTCTGTGCTTCCCTTCACCCAGATCCAAACGTTTCAGATGATGACGACTTGGACGAAGCATTTATGGATGAGAGCGCCTTTGAGACGTTTACGGGCGAAGAGGGCGATGAGCTCAGTGAGGTTGGCCGGGTGCGCAGTGATTTCGTCAACAACAGTCGTTATGCACCGTACTAGACACCTCACGCAGGCAGCTCTCGAACATCTGGAGTCAATCATCGATGATCCATATCATCCAGGCGAGAATGGCCTCAACGGCGCTGGCGAAGATGTTGAAAGCGAAGGCGATGGAGGACATTGATCTGGACGTTGATTCTTAAACACACGGCACAAACAAAAGTATATATTTCACCAACGAAGGATCGACGCATAATCCAGACATCCAGTACATGACCATTCGAATCAACAAATCATATCAGCCTTTATCTACGACTTGAAACCTTTGGGCCGAACATCAGCAGACAGTGTTGTTTTTGGTGCGACAATTGGTAATGGTCCCCAGTCAAATACAGCAGCGGGGGCTTTTGGTGCGGGCGTTGGAGAAGCTTCGAGACTCTCCGACTTCAGCATAGCCGCCGATTTAGCTGAAGACCCATGTCTCGGTGTTCGCTGTGGGCGACGCGAACAGGATGCTGTGTAAGATGTAGAATCGTCATAATTGATGGACGTTTCTGGCGACCACCCGCCCTGCGTGAATGTAGGGGTGTTGAATGCAGGCAAGGCGCTGCTAGGAAGGGAAATGAAACTAATAGGAGTAGGTGTAGTGGGCTCTTGCTTCACCGCTGCTCTGCTTGGCGTTAGGAATGACGTAGGCGCGGGTTTGGATGCTGCCCTGTTGTTAAGCAAGGGCTCCTTCCTTACCGCCAGCAGAGCCCGCTTTAACTTCTGTGCAGAGCGTTCGGCATTCAATGCAGCAGCCGTGGTAACTGCTACATGGGGAATTACGGCCGACGGCTTCTTAACACTTGACTCCAAGAGCTGTTTGTCTCGTGGACCAGAGACATTAGAGGATATGTCCAACTTGGTCATTCGCTGCTGGAGTTTTGCGACATCGCCGCTTTGTTGCGTGATTGAGATATCAATGTTGCGGAAAGCGCGGTTCACGGTATCCAAAGACGGTGCCCTGTGACCAAATTATGAGATGTTGACAGCGTTTTAGGATCGGACAACGAACTTTAGGCTCGGTTTGCCTGCCTTTAGCTCAGCAAGCCTCTTTTTAGAGGATTGTAGATGGTCCTCGAGCTTTTGTACACGGTCCCCCATCGTCTGTCCACGAAATTAGCATACTATCCTGTGAATTAGAGACAACTGTACCCTTATATCCCTCCGTAGTTGCGACTGAGTCTCCAGATATTCTGGTCCGAGGGTTCTGATCTTGAGCATCTTCGCAAACTCACTATCTGTCTGAGCTCGAGTAAATCGGATGATTTCCTCCTTTCTTGTTCCCGCTGTGTACCATGCATTAGTTGATAATCTTGGTCTCAGCACGCATGACTGACCCTTCAACATACTACTCTCAAGTTCCTTCAGCGATTGCTTAATAAGTTTCCGTTGCTCCTTTATCTCTTTGATGTCACCCTGGACTTCAGTCATTATACGACCATACTCCTTGATGTCTCCAAGCGCCCATTTCGTTGCATCTGGAAGGTCTGTTTTCACATGAGATTGTCCTGGTGTTTTCTTTGACCCGAGTTCGGCGGCTTGCTGTGTTGCACGCGCTGCCATAGTTTTTAGCTGACCAAAGGGTAAGCCTTCAGTTTGAATATGTGTATCAAAGACTTACATTGTCGAGTTCCCACGTTAGACGTGAGACCATGAACGAACACTCAGACTGCATGCCTTGTTCGATGGGCGGAGCTGGTGGAGATATAGAAGGAAGGGGGACTGCAGATGGCAGCGGGCCTGGAGACAGAGACATGGGACCAGCGGATACAGCCCCAGGTGGCTTGAAGCTACTGAAAACGCTAGGAGGCGGAGGAGTGAAAGTAGGAGGCGCTTCCGGTGTTTTGGCTGGCGCGCCGAAGATGCTGGGAGACGTGGGGCTGGGACTCTCGCTCGACTTCGAAAAACCAAAGAAACCTGTTGGAGGGGGCGTAAAGACTGGTGGGGTTGGAGTCTGAGACTGAGTTGGAGCTGGAGCACCGAAGATGCTAGACGCTGCGGGCGGTGTGGTAGTCAGCAGGGGCTTTGGAGGTAGTGTAAACGCTGGTGGCATAGGCAGCGCCGTGATGGCCGGCGCGCTTGTACTCTTGCCGAACAGAACTGGGGGCGTTCTGGGCCGGGAAGAATCAGATTCTGCGTCTTGCTTCACTGGGGGTACCCACGCGCCGAATTGCGGCCTCGGTGAGGCAGGATGCGGTACCATAGTCGGAGGTGCTGATTTCGCTTGGGGTAGGAAACTGGGAGCTTCCATGTCTCCGGTGAGGGGGGCATTTGCAAGAGGTGAGCTTTTGACCGGTCGAGTACCGGTCGTCCTGGGAGTTATAGCGAATGGGGAGGAGGCAGGAGGCTTTGGAAGAGGCGAAACCACGGGAGGTGTGGCACATTGAGCCTCTGGTACGGGAGATCCAGGTGGTGTTGTACTCTGGTCCCTAACTGGAGATATCTTTCGAGGCGGAGGAGAAGGCGAAGTTGACAATGTAATGGTCGGTAACTCCGCTTTTGGAGTGGTCGATCGAGACCTGGGAGCAGGCGATGGGATGGAAGAAGGAACCACTGTTGACTCAGGCTCTCCTTCTTGCGTCTGCACTTCCCGTACTTCTTGATGTGTATCCCCTTCCTTTTTCTCTTCCTTATGCTCTTCCTGTAGTTTCTCCTGTTCCTCCCACTGTTCCTCCAGCTCCTCCCGTTCTTCTTCCCGTTCTTCTTCTCGCTCATCCTGCCCATCTGGCAATTCAGACTCTTCAGACTCTTCCGACTCTTCCGATTCATCATCATCATCATCGTCATCAGAGATAAATGACTTCGTGTCGTCTTCGAGTTCCCCATCCTCATCAGATTCTTCAACAGTCGAGTCCGCATCGCCCTCAGTCGCATCTTCAGCAGAAACATCAACGAAGGATGAGGCTGTTGAAGAAGAGATGGACTCCAAGGAAGGTTCGTGAGGCAAAGCCTTGTTGTCTATGACTTTCACTTCCTGCACTTTCTCCTCGACCACAGGAAGCGGTGGAGTGGTTGTCCTAGTTGGCGTTTCCTCTTGCTTGACAGCCTCCGCCTTTGCAACCGGCATAGTAGGCGTGAGCGGCTCTTCTACCTTGACATTCGTAACCTCTTTAGTGGGTGTCTCAGGCTCGACAATGCGTACGGAAAATACATTGACAGATTCAGTCTTCAGGGGTTCCTTGGCCTTGTCACCAGTGCTCTTCAGCAACTCTCCAAACGACTTTGGTGCACCCGCAAACGCGCTGAAACCGCCACCTCCACCTGACGCAAAAGCACTAAAACCACCCGTTGAAGGTGTCGAGAAAGCTGACTGGAGTGGGCTGGGTGGGCTCTTGAACGCCCCTCCTGGCATGGATGACGCACCAAATGTAGGAGCTGGGGAACTAGGCGTCATGGTCCCAAAGGCACTTTTCGTTACGGCACCAGGCATCGACGACTGGCCGAAGGCAGGAGCCCCGGTAGTAGGTTTTGTTGGTGTTGAAGGGGAATTTGATGCCAGGGCAAATGCAGAGATAGGTGGCTGTGCTGGCGCGGGCCTGTAAAACGGAGAGTCTTTCGGTGTTTCTCCCAATCCGAATCCAGAGGAGGGTTTCATCGAGAATGAAGACGAAGATGGCTTCAAATTACTGAAGGCACCTGTCGTTGGAGCTGGTGCAGAGCTCTTGAATCCAGACTCGGTCTCTTCACCCCTCTGCGCGACAGGGGAAGGAGACCGGCTTTCGTCCCGCGGCACAGATGTCTCACGTGGAACGTTAATTGCCTGGACAGGCGTTGGTGCATCGGGTTTCGTAGCATTCGTCGCACTACCCCATGCAGGCTTCTGAGAACCTGTATTGGAAGTAATAGCTCCGAAAGCATTTGGGGCACCTGTCGCAAATGCAGCGAAGCCTCCGGAAGTAGGTGATGGTGTTTGTGCAGTAATGGTGGTTGATCCGAAGGGCGATTTTCCAAAAGCCGACGTTCCAAAGCTGGATTGTCCGAACCCAGACTGCCCAAATGAACTCTTCCCAAAGCTAGGGTCAGGTGTAACACCAAATCCGTTCTTCCCGAATGCAGAAGTAGGTGGGATAGCAGATCCAAACGCCGAGGTAGTTGCTGAGGCACCACCTCCAAATGTCGATGTGGTCGACGCACCACCGAACGCATTGAACGGACTCTTTTGCTGGCCTCCGTTACCGAGAGCTCCAAAGCCGGTTGCAGGTTTGATGAATCCACCTCCCGCTGAATCACTTGTAGGAGAAGATTGAGATGTAGCTGTGCTCCCAAAAATGGAGGGCCTTGAATCAGCACTCTGAGGAGCAGGATTACCGCTGCCAAGTGACAGCCGACCAAAGCCGGGTGTATCATCTGCAGCCATACTATCTTCTGCAGAAGCTGATGTTATTGCACTTTGTGTAGGCGCGATAGGTTGTGCTCCTCCAAACCCAAACTCTGTCTGTCCGAACTTCGAGGGTCCAACAGTGCCAAATGCCCCAAACCCTCCCGAAGTAGGCGTGGTGTCAAAGGCAGACTTCCCAGCTTGAGCAAACGGCGAGGCTGATGGAGCGGCGGACCCAAACATGGGTGTGGGCTGTCCGAATGATGACTGGCCAAATGATGACTGACCGAAAGAGGGTTGAGCAAATGCTGAAGTTGGTGACGACTGTCCGAACGCAGATGTAGTTTGCTGGCCGAAAGCATTCGTTGTTGGTGTCTGGCTAAATGGAGATCCCAGTTGCTGACCAAATGATGATTGTCCAAATGAAGGCTGTTTTCCGAACGCAGACGACTGGCCAAAATCAGGGGCTGTCTGGGCGAAAGTTGACGCACTGGCAGAGGATGAAGTGGGTTCAATAGGAGACGCATGCATGTCATTGGACGGCTCCCGCATTATTGCGGTAGGCACAGCTGACAGTGTCTGAGCGTTCTCCATCATTGTTCCCGAGGACTGGGTTACCATGCCCGGGTAAGGTGTTCCCTTGATGTTGAGGATATGCCAACCTGCTAATGTCCCATCTGATGCGTATGCATACATGATAGGTGAAGGTGGCAACTGAACACCTTCCCCGGACGCACTCGTGTGGTGGAACGGCTCAGTGCTAGTTAGATCAAGTTCTAGGCCAACGAGGACGGTGTCGTTCATGTCCCTGTCCAACGGGAGGCTCGGCGTCGATGTTTCCTCAAGCGACAAATTCGACCAATTCTCTTCTACACATCCGACCACCCCAATGTCAGACGAAGTACTGTCTCCCATAAATAACAATATCTTTGCGGGATCCCACCCCCGCAAACACACGATAAATGCACCAGGTGGCCGCAGCCCGGGCGAAGGGTAATACGGAGAGGAAAATTTCAAGTCTTGTGCAGAATTAGTTTTGCCATCAAGGGAGACGTGGAAGTGAGTTTGTTCGACTTCTGGGTTAAGAGGCAGCTGGGCGTAGATCGCATGGAAAGACGAAGCAGATAGCCAAGTCGATGATATGACGCAGGCATTAGATGCTGAGGGTGGGCTTGGAATGCTGGACTTTGGGGTGGAGGTAGAAGTAGGTGCATATGTGACGATGGAACCGCTTCTCATGCCCAGTGCAAGCTGCTTGCCCTTGGGAGACCAGGATACTGTACAACGGTCAAAATACCAACATAGCATTGAAAGAAGACACCTACTTGACGCGGGAATGGTATTTGGTAAACTTCCTGCTACCCAACCTCCCATAGATGTCAGTTTTTGAACGTCGAGAAGCTCCACTGCTAATGCGTTTAAGCCACTTTGGGAGTCCCGTAAGATAGCTACAAGTTCCGGAAGATCTCCCGTATTCGGAGATATCGAAACAACGAAAGCTGAAGGCACAGCAGGAAGTGAGTAAATGGGATTGATGGGACTGTCTCCAGGGGAGAATAGGTGTTCTGCGGCGTAAACCATAATCGACCCCTCAGCAAACCCAACGACGAGTCTGGAGTCATTGAATGCAAATACAACAATATTTGGGGTGGCAGCACCCAGGGAAACCTTCCTTTGAGGTTGATATGGTCGGTCATCCGTATCGTTGGCGGTAGCGAATGCGGAGCGAAGATCGCTGAGGGGCGACAGCACAAGAACTACAAAGACGCAATTCAGCAATGATTGCGAGGCGTGTGATACTGATACATACTTGTCCCAGAATTGGAATCTCGGCCCACTGCTGCAAACCATCCTCGAGAGTTTGCGACCGCGAATAAGGAGGCTCTGCCTGGGATGGGCGAAAGGTTTATGGATTCTTGGGAAAGGCGAACACGAGCGCGCTTGTTCAGTTGTCGAAGAACAAGAAACTAAATGATGAACAGTTGAAGAATACGATATGCCAACTTTGAAAGATGAACGCACGTCGGCATCCTTCTCCCCCGGTTCAGATGATGCTGTTTGAACGGGAGGAGGGACTGTAGGCTGAATTTGTGAGATATTTGACATAGAAATCCTTCTGCTCGCTCAGATACGTTCACAAGATTCTCTTGGCCTGGATAAATGGAAACACAGAAAAGAGGAGTGCTTTGACCAAGCTTTGACTCTGGGCAATTTAAGAATTTGAATATATTTGACTGAGTCACGTGGCCTTATAATAACTTTTGTGACAAGTCTTTCGTCGCGTCAAACGACTAAGTGAGTAGCTAAGGCTGTGAGCTAGATTATCATCGACGCTGCTTTACGCAAGTGATGATCCGCCAGAAGTCTAAGTAGACATCTCTGTGATTGAATTGGCCGCTGGCGTGCTTTCTACTGAACTTGTGCACGTACTAGTACTAGTAGTGCCTGCATCACATGTGCACCGCTTGCACGGTGTCAAATGTACAACCAGTCACACACTCACCCTCTCGCATCAGAATTACCACTATCTCTCTTACAACGAAACATAATGGCGGTCCCACACGATGCTCAGTCCGCCGCACTGCTTGCCCACGTCGCGACACAATTGCAGCTCAATATCTCCTTCCTGGAGTCTCAGGAATACATGTCTGCTGAAGATGCCCGCAGCATGCGTGAAATCATATCACGTCTGCCCGGCGGCGCAGGCCAGTCGGTTGTGACCACCAGTTTTGATTTTATCGATCCAGCAGTCGTGACTAGAGCTATCCCGCCTCCAGCAGACATGCCTAAAGGGAGAGCGATTCCGCCCCTACCTGTACAAGCGCCCCCGATATCGCCTATTTCCTCCCAGAAACCTAGACTCGTGAAAGCTATCTGGGCATACAACGAAGACGGGGGAGTAAGTTTGCCGCCCACCCAGTATCTTTACAGTATTTACTTTCGCCACCAGGAACCAAACGATCTCTCGTTTGCTACTAATGAAGTCATTGAAGTCGTCTTGGAGAAGAACGAAGATTGGTGGGTTGGTCGCGCACGTGGTCGGGAGGCTCTATTCCCGTCTAATCACGTCGAGAGCGTAGACGCTTCTACCATCCCCCAAGCTGATGCAGTTGCAACGACTGCAAAGAAACCATATAGGCCATTTGGCGCTGCTCTGCATGGGACTGATAAACCTCCCGCCGTGGGTGTAGGCATCAACTCTGTTGGTCTGCAGGAAGCATCTGGTCAGGCAGAAAAGAAGAATAAATACGGAAAGTATGGTAACACGGTTTGTTTTTTTCGCTTTAAAATCGAGGACATAGGCTGATACAGGTTTGGTTACTCAGATGGCCCACTCAGCTGCAGGGGGCGTTGGGTTTGGTGCTGGTAAGGAGTCTATCACGCAGGTCGAATGTCATTAACATACCCTTGTAGGTGCTGCCATTGGCGGTGGTTTGATCAGAGCGATTTTCTGATATGGTCGTGGCACATGGTTCGGAACTTTAGCTATCACATGGACCTGGTATAGGCAGTATCTATTTATAATCATTCGTTGTGTCTTCGAGTATATTGGCAAGCAAGTTGAAATACTGATCGTCCAGTTGCGCTGTATCGCGTCCTTCTTAATGAGGTTAAGGTCTCGAGTGGAAGGGACGTCACAGCAGACGTGCTCATCCTCAATTTATACAAAGTCACTCGCACACGTAGGTTTCAGGACCTTGGACTTTGTGGGGGTTCACTACCTGGTTCTTGCCCTTACATCAGCCCGCCCGCCCACTTGCCCTTTCCAATACTCGAGCCATCCTGAATTTCTTTGGAGACTCGACCGTTCACCTGGGTCGGTTTTCCCTCGCTTGATGTATACACCTCACTGTGTCCGAGCACTCGTATCTCCGCTGACAACGGATGATCTCGATGAAATAATTTATTTCACGTCATGTTTGAAACATTCTGGTGAACTTACCTATCTTGACCTCTCAAGCACATCTATCGTACCAAATATGAGGCCAACGGCTTGGTTGATCATATATTCCCGGCCTTGGGTTAGACGTCACGCGTCATCGCTCAGCGCTCAGGCTTCAAGCTTCAAGCTTCAGGTTTAACGAGCAAGTGTGATCATGGATGTACTACCACTTGTTTCGGCTAGCCTCGATATGTTTTGGGTAACGCCAGTACGAGATTGACGTCTACCTTGCCAGCGCCTAACAAGTACCCGTTAGTCGATGAGCAATGAGGCCATGAGCGAACGACGAGCACACTACTATTTCCCGCAACATGAACTCTATGGTTGCCCTTACCGTTAACAAGTAACGACGGGACTTTCATAGTGTGAGTCAAGAGTCATAAGTAACAAACAGCCTTTGAAGTTAGAAACTCTGCCTTCTATCTTGCGTCATGTATCAAGTTCTGCTGCTTTTACACGGGTGAATTGGTACCTGATCAATAACTGCGCGTGTTTATGGAAGGCAGCTATATATACACGGAAGAAGCGATGAGACCTGTCTGTGATGCAAACCTATGAAACTTCCTCCATGTCGTCGTCCTCGTCTTCGTCCTCGTCATATTCATCCGCCCCCATATCACCGGAGACTCCTTCTGGAAGAGAACTTGGCCCAGGGACGTTTTCGGCTTTCATCTGTTCTCTAGACTTCAGTTCTGAAAAATAACCATAACTAAAATGAAATACCCCATCTTTGGCGAACACATCGTTCAGCTCCCACATTCCATTGTATTCTCCACTCCGATTCAGGGTAGCAATAGAAAGAAGGACCTCTTTGAGATATGCCTCGGGCTGCTGGGTGCGCTCGCGTAATGGCTTGATGCTCCACCGGGGTTGCTCGCGAAAGAGTGTGAAGAGAAGATCCAGCAGTTGGTTGCGTGGCATACGCGCCATACGCTCAAATGTGCCCTTGGCAGGTTTGGGTCGAAATTTCTATGAGGTTCAGTTAGTGTTCAGCGACGATCTAAATAAGCAGACACGGACAATCATATTGGCAAACGATCCCGAGTTGACTCCACTGCTCAACCTGTTAATGCCTCCGCGGCTAACACCAGCATCTTCTATCATAAGGATCTGCCTTCGTGGGGTATTATATTTTCGAGTTCGTTCGCGCATTTGTTGCCTGTATGACTCGTTGAAAAGAGGCCGCAAATTACATTCATGTTTAATGCGACCCGTTAGAATGGTTGTTCTAGCTCGAGGGTTATACGAGGCGGAGTTTGGTCCAGAAGGTCCAGGGTCTTTGGGACGTTCTGCGACTACCAGCTGATTCTCAACGTCCTCGTTGACCATTTCAAGTTCATATCTGTCTACCTGCATGCCCCCCTCAACAGAAGGTATGAAAGCTGCATCTGGAGAAAAGACCGGCAGACTTAGATCCCGTGGGGTTGTGTCATTCGGGTCAGGCGGCAAGAACAAGAAGATGCGAGGGGATCGACCAGATGGGCTGACGGCATTTTTATACACCCGGATTGTGGCAAGATGAACATCCTCTGCGTCAATGGCCGCCCAGCGGGCCATGAGATGTTTAGGTATCTTCAATTGCAAACGAGCATTAGAAAGCCCGGAAAGTAAAAGGAATGAAGAGACTCCGGCAGGGTGGAAGTAGTACTCTCTACCCTTCTTTCAACAGCCATGGGGCAGGCTCACCTTGACAAGCCATACTCTCCCGTTTCCCTTGTCCAACATTAGCTCCTCATCAGGGTCTGGTTGAGCATCTTCATCGTTGTGTTCGGCCTCGAAAGGCTTCTTCTCATCTTCGACAGTCAGATCATCCATGTGAAGTTGTCCGAGACTTTGACCTTCAAGTTGGTGAACTAACAAGTGCTTACTAAGCGAGCCAAAACTAGTAGTACTACACTCAGAATCTCAGATTGACTTGCTATACACGCATTTCTTTTCTTTCCTTCACCTCTCGCTCACTCGTTGTTTGTGAGGTGAGAATTCGACGGTCGATTTTAAACTGCTGATACGCCGAATCCTGGCGCTTTGTGCATTCGAGGATGTGCTTCTATCGGGTCGACTGTGTTATTTTGGTCGTGGACTCCAGCGGCGAGGACTATCAAAGATATGGCTTTAACCTTACCATTTGATGACGCACCGAACCTTCGAAGAGTTAGGCGATCTAAGTTTTTCTGCAGTGTCATGCTCCGTACGGTCGTTGAGACACGTACGTACACCCCTACACCTGATGTTTTGTCCTTGCAATGTGACCGTGACGACGTGGTGCTGAACCAGGTGTACTTAGACTGGGCGCATACACGCTCATTCACGCGACGCTGTTTCGCCGCGTCGTTGACCACCTCTCAGTACTCGCAGACCTGTGAGTGTGTATGCGACGGCGGGATGCCTCATTTTTCTGAGTATGCGTTATTTTGGCGATAGGGCATTGCCTGGCTTTTGTGGAGAGTGCGATTGTAATGGTATGTGCGAAGGTGGGCCTCTTTTACTGGATTCTGCCTGTGTGTTGCTGGCCGACGTTTTTCTTTGTGCTTCTTTGCACTATTTCACGCTTCTTTTGTGTCTTTCTTAGCACCTCCTCTGCGCCTTTCGACCCTTCTCTTACGTCTTTTCTCAGCTTCTCTTTTTGTGCATTTCCATTTCGATACCTAATTTGCGTACAGGTTCGACGTACTTGATGCAATTGAGCTACCTGAGTTTGTCTTGACGTCAGCTGTAGATCTGGCTCATCGTTTTAGTGCCATCTGGTTTTTTTTTTTTGCTTCAGAGTTGGTCCGTTGGGGTCATAGACCCTATGTTGGACATTGTCTCGTCATAAGCTCCCTCTTGTTTATTATGATGGTTTGTCTTTGCGTCTTTAGCTGACTCGTACTAGTGCCATCTGGTTCACTTCCATGGGCTCACGTTCCTCCTGTTGTCGCACGTGAGGACTTAACTGGATTTATTTAGGTGAGGTAGACGGTACTTTTGACCTGCGCGAGACATTCAGGGACAGTCTTCCTTTCCAGTATTGAATGCGCTCTTGTGTTTCATTTATCACAGCATTTGGCACCCGCGGTAGAAATGGTCACGCCAGGCTGTACAATACCCACGATAAGTCTAGCAAACTCAACTTTCTGTTTCACAACATCTTAAACACGCCTCATCATACACTCCAAATCTGAGTAAACATTCCTAATGCAGATCATGAAACCCAGTCACCCACCTTTTGGATCCTCATTATGTGAAATCCGCTATGGAAAGGACAAGATCTGACACGACACATTGTAGATTCAATGATTCTAAATCTACTGGTTGTTTTCTCCGACGATCAGACTCATCAGCAGGTTGGATTGTGCTACAGAATGCTACAGAGCGCTCTGTAGCACTCTGTAATGAATTGCGTTTCCCTGATGGATACCTCCCTTCACTGTTTTCCAGGATGCCCTGGATGAAATATCTTTCCACCATCTATCCCAAGATTATTAGTATAAAATCCACCGGAAAAAAGAACAACCAACCTGGCGACATTAGGGCGGCTGCTGAATTTGTCGAGCCCAATATCCAGAATGACGGCACCGTATGGCAGGTGGAACAGATCAGCCAGAGTGATATCCTATCTCTGGGTCAGCACGATTCAGCGTCTGTTCATGCAGATGCTTACATTTCCAGCCAGGTATTTCTGTTTGCCAAGGATGACATCGTAAGCATCAAGTTTAGCAGAAAGCTGGCCTTGTAGTGATTTAACACGGGCTTCGTCAGTCTTCCCACCAAACAACCTATATTGAAAGTTGCAGATTCGACAGCGCGTTGCAGGTGACTGGTACCTACTTGGTGAACTTCAACTCCCATGCCAAACCAGAGACAAAAGGATCATAGTTAGATGCTTCAATTGACGCAGCTTGCTCAAAGAGCGCGATGGCGGTGGGATCGCTGGGGAGGAGAGGAGTTCCCTGCGAAGCGTACTTCGCGGCAATATACCGGCAGATCGCCCTCGATTCATAAAGAATCAAACCATCGTCATCCTTTAAATCAGCCATATCAACTATCGTTCTACATAGATGAGGAAACGACGACCGCACAATGTAAGGAACCTGGCCGAAAGGCTGGTAGGCGGTAAATTCGGGGGCCTTATGTGCACTCTTGAGTATATCAACGGGAATGAACTCGAATGATACATTCTTTTCCTTCAACACCACTGCGACACGGAGTGTGCATATTGAGGTAGTGAATCCGTAGAGTTTCAAAACCATTGTGAACAAATAGAGAGATGGAGTTTTGAACTGCGCGAGGGAACGAAAGTTTCTGATTCCTCACTATGAACAACTTCATCCTCTTACTTATCCAAATCCCGTGAGAGATACCTTATTCTGTGAACCGGAATTACCGGTGCGCTCGATCATCGCAATCGAGTAAAGTGACTCGGAGATGTGAACCTGGTTTAAAAAGTCGATAATTGCTTAGCAGAAGTACTGAAAGGTGTGACAGCTATTGGGAACATTGCCCAATTGAACTGCAAGTGAGTCCACGAGTACATGATAACTCAATGATGCGCCCAGAGAGCATTGGGCGTTGAAGTGGGCTCCAAAACTCGCCAGAGGTGTGCTTTTTTGATGATCAGTCGATGTCGTGCTGGGGGTGTGCCCCGTGAGCTCGAGTTGGCAATGGGCATCAAATGTTCTACTAGATTTGGTTCTCGCGAATTTCGGTGCGCTCTCTCGACGGTTAGTCAACTTAGATAAGCATGGCAAATGCCGGTCCCGCGTTTCAGCCCCGCCGCTACTTACCATGTTAGAACGGAGTCCACGGACAAGTCACACCTTGAAATCGAACCGTATTTGACGTGAAGTTCAATTCAGATCGCTTATACACATCTTACACAAATGACTTCTGATACTAAGTGCCGAGTCCTTTTTACAGCTGATTAAGCTTTGGCTTTGACTGCGAGCCACGAAGGCCTCGCAGTGATATCCTTCCACCACCTGTGAGGTAGGTTGGTGAGTTATCTGGCCACAGCAATATCTGTTTAGGAACGGGCGCTCACCTTGCCACATTCGGTCTATCTTCCAACAAATCGTACCCCAATTCTTCGAATACTATCGTTCCATATGGAAGATGGAATAAGTCGGCCAAGGTAATGCTCTAATGAAAGCTCTTGGTGAGCAAGCTATACGGTCGCACCAATCGTCGTTACTTACACCTCCTGCAAGATACTCCTGTTTTCCGAGTATAACATCGTATATATCCAGCTTTGCCTTCAAGTTGTTCACCAGGTCAGATAGCCTAGCTTCATTTGGTTCGAGGCCACGATGCCTGTTGAAAACGCTTCAGCCACGAACTCTGCAGAGCGTTAAGTCTCCTACTTCTTGATGATCTTCTCCGTGGTAATACCCAACGCAAACGGGTAGAAGTTCGATGTCTCGATTGACACTGCTTGTTCAAAAATGGCCTCCGCTTTGGGGTCACGGGGCACGAGATCTGGGGTGCCTTGCGATGCATACTTCTTTGCAATGTATCTGCAAATAGCTCTGGATTCATAGAGAATGAAGCCGTCGTCATCCTGACCGCTGCTGTATCAGTATTTGTCGCCGTAAGTGGTGCAAATGAATTACTGACTATGTAAGGGACCTGTCCGAATGGTTGGAACTCTCTGAAGGCAGGTGTTTTGTGTTCCCCCTTGTAGACTTCCACGTTCACAAGCTCGTACGGCACTTCCTTTTCTCGGCAGACTTCTGCGACGAGTCTGACGAGGGGAGCGACAGCGTGGCCATGTATCTTAAGAACCATTGTAGTTGTGACTGTAGGTGGAGGAATGACTAGTATCGTTGGTGCACCGGTGATCTTGTGCTGCCCCCTATATACGCCCAGCGCACTTAGCCTCTTCGATCGAGACTAAAGCTTTTCGAGTACTGTATGAGGCTAGAGTCGTCATGACGCGCGATAAGGTGACAACACTAGTGAAATCTGTGCTGTTGTCCTCACTAATCCATTTTGGTTGGACTTGTCCAACCTATTCCAGTTGATTGATCCAGCCTCTCAGTGATAGCCGATACTTAGGTCTACTAGTAGGTGATAGCGGAGGTACTTACGTCATACTGGCGAGGTATTCTCACAAAGTGCTGCTCCAGCCGTGACCAATTGCAACCAATAACAAATGGGATTCGAGAATGGAATAGTTCAAAGCAATGCGGAACCGATTAGGCAACGGCCAGGCAAAGCGATAATTTGCTGATTATGTACATAATATTATGCTGTGAATGTAGAGACGAGAGATATTGATTAAGAGCAGAGCATGGTATCAGTGCACGCTGTACAGCATGACTATGTTACCCGCGCGCGAAAAGTATTGCTTGCAGTGACTCGTACGTACATACAGGCTCCCAGTATGATATGATTGATCTATTTAGACCACAAACTAAACACTACATATGGCTAAAGTACATGAAAAGTATAGGTATATAGAGATCACTCCGTGTATAGAATGGGTCCAGAAAAAAGTTCGTGTATACCACATCGATCAGGACACTATTAGATCTGTCAAGCTCCAATCAAACGTCATCTTTTTTGCACAGCAATGGTACTGCTCTCCTCTCCACTGAGTGCTGCAGGACCTAACTCCACATCCTCAACGAACCTTCCCATTTCACCGGGGCTGGGGGCGCGCTCCTTTCCTTTGCGGCTCGAACGGCTCCAAGACAAAAATTTCGGCTTCTGTTGTGGTGCAGTCACCGCTGCATCGTCTGACATGCCCGCGCCAGGCTTAACCTGTTCTGAATCCTTCTTAGACACACTCTGACCTGTTCCCTGCGCCTTCTCCGCCTGCAACTTCAAAAATTCTTCCCCTCTTATCCTCAAAAACTCTTCCAGAAGCGCGGCATTCCTTGAATTCGCCTTGAACACGGCCATGACAATGTCACCCGCTACGGGCACTAGGCCGCTCAAAGCCGAAATTGCATTGTTGAGGAGCATGCGGCGCACGAGCCAAGCCGGTAGTTCAGCCTGCCTGGCTTTGCGGACAACCAGGAAATAATTGAGTGTGACATCAGCGACATCGCCGGCGCCAGGGATAATACCAATGATAAAAGCCCAGCCAAATCGGAGACCACAAATGGAGAAACCTTTGTCTAGGTAGTGGGCACGGCGCTGCACCGACTTGAGAATCTTTGCATCACGCGCTGAAAGACCGGGGGGTATCGCGCGCTTAAAAAATAGTAAGACCGAGGGTAGCGGAACTTCGAAGGGCTAGAGCACCTTTCTGCGACGCTGTTTGCCGCGCTTGTCGGTATAAAACTCATACAACGGGTCTTCGGGTCGGTATTGCTCGAGGTTCTTTTCAAAGAGCTTTGTACCTGCTTTTTGAAGGTAGGAGGTCATGACAGGGAGAAAGAAGAAGGGGATGAGCGACCGTAACGCATTTTTGCATATATAACAAGAGCTCCATCAATACACCTGACCCTTTCGGCTACAACCTTGCTTTGTGTATTCCGCGGTCAAGTACTATTTTTGTTACAAAACTTATTCATATTTGGTATTTATGTAATCTGAGAATATATAATAAGATTTGTGCATGAATTAGTCAGCGATATTACATTTGACGTCAAGATGTCTCCATCCACTGACAAGCTCGACGAAGAATATGTTCAAAGTAGCTTTCACACTTATCTCAAGTCATCTCTCACTCAAGCGAAAGTGGAGAGACTGATAGAGGACCAAGTTCTAGCATCCGCACAAGCAGATCTTATGATTACTGGTGCGCAGCAGCCGCAACAAGCAGCTCCAATGTCTTGGTCTGATCATGTCTGACGTCAATGTAGGTCCAGCATTGTGCTTGTACTTTGCGGCCCTTAGATGCACAACAAACCCGCCATCTGTACCACTTCCTCGTGCCACAAAGTCCGCACCGCCTCTCGAGCTGTCGCCAGACAATTGCCCACCGGCATTTCTCGGCTTTCTAGCCGTCTGGGCAGCTACGGTGCCGCGAATCCAGGGCCTCATCCCTCAAGACCAGCATGATCTTGCTCGCATCATCTGTGGTCTCGAACCTATTGCTATGCCCCCAAACTCCGAGTGCGCCGGCATTGCTGCCGATCTACGTGCTGTGGCAATTGAAATCAGTCAGAGACGCACCTTTCAGGATAGATATGCAAGCGATCTGCAGGCTGCGTTGGATGCAGGCGCATCAAGCAGTGGTTTGAAGGTCAAGACGAGTTTTGTACCACCACCTCTATATTCAGATCAGCTTTCCCCTGAATCGTCCGGATATGAGTCCAAGAAATTCTCTTCTCCTTCGTCTCCATCCGTTCTGTCCGCATTTCCCTTGCGCACGCCTTCCCCTACGATACTCACCCAAGACACCCCTGAAATTGACTTCATCCGCGAGACACTCTACTCCGCGCTCGCAGTCGTGCTAGAGCATATCACAGCCTCCCGGGATCACAACCCGCACCCTCTTGCGCGTCTATTCAAATATGATCCCTCACGTGCCCATTTTGCTGCGGTCAGCCTTGCCATTCTCGAGGTGGCCACGATGCAGGGAGTCATTCTCCCCGATCAAAACGCCATCATGTGCGTCAGTGCACGTGAGCTTGGAGGGCACAAGCTCACGCCAGATACATGTCCGGAGCCACTTCGGCCGTTCATGATGGAGCTCATTGCCATTGGGCGGGACGCGCAGGTGATGCAGGACGAAGACAACGAAGCGACGATCAAGGCTATAGAGAGAGGTGATGAGGATATCCCGGAACCTAGGTTCGAGCGCGTGCAGGCCATCATCATCAATGGTGTACGAGTCAGTAGGGGTGCTGCGGATGATAGGTGCAGGACGCGTAAAAGGAGCGTGGAGGGACGGGCTGTGACATTTGCCAACAGGGTAAATGCCCTTGGGCTGTCGATCAGTAGAATCAAGGCATTTAGAGACAGAGAGAAGGAGGTATTCGATGTGTTAGGGCCACGCCCGTAAGGCTTTGGATGATACCTAGTTCGGTGGAAGGTAGTGCATGGATGCAAAGGTGATCACGAACTTACTTTACTAATGCCAGTACTCTGCTGTATTTGATACCATATTGATACGAAACTTATGCTGTTCATCTCCACACCAGCACGATCGTACCGGCCTCTTGCCCATTTGGCCTCTGAGCTAAATCGAGGACACACAGCAAACATTCGTCCAACGATCGCCATCAACACGAGACGAGGCCTCACTCTACATATTTCGACGCAATACTCCACCTAGTAACACCAACATTGCCTTTGAGACCACATTTGCCTCATCGATTCATTACGCACACGGACCGGAGCGAATAAACTGTAGTGATCCATGAAATAATTGTTCGCCGATCAAGATGGTATATCTACCAAACAAACGATAACAAGAGCGCATCAGTACCGGGCAATGCGAAATTGGCGATTTGGCCACGTACCCTCAGTCATTTCAAATATTGAGATATTAATGTGGGGAAAGCATGGCATGGGTATGGGGCACTTGTCTGCGGGGAGAAGAGCTCTATGAATTGTACGCGGTGGAGTACGAGGCACATGAGGGTGCGGACATTCGGAAAGATGCCATACACTGAGATTCGAAGTGAGCTTGGACTCCATCTTCTCCGAGTTCCGCGGCGCTTCATAAAGAAGTGCGCGGCGCGGTCTGCAGCCTACAGGTAGAAGTGCTCTTAGACTCACTCCGGTACTGATTGCGAGGCCAGAAGTCAAACACAAAGCGCGCACCTGAGCTGGTAGTGTGCTTGACAGGAAGCTCAAGGTTCACGATGCGATCTTGCCGAGGCAGAAATATCTCACTAGCAATGTAAGTGTTGGCTTGTTAACTTAGGCAGATGCTCACCTGTTGCTTCCTGTCACGTTCCTCTAACGGACTTGATCCATATGCCCTGTGGACTTACATTGATCGAGGCAGATAAACCGAGAAGCAGTGAATGTGAGAGGTGGGAAGGCATATTTCATATTCTGAGTCATGGGTAGCGGTGCCGGTGAAGGACGGCGTTGTGTTGGTGTTAGTGGCAGGAAGAAGCGGACATCACTGGGCTAATGTAATACACTTGATGATACAAGCTGTTATCAACGGTCGATTGACGAACAATATTATTGTTGCGTGTGTCCAAGAGTCGAAGCCCTGAAATTTCCCTCGCCTGACAAATGGCTAAACGCCGTGAGCAGTCCATGTGAAAACCGATTTTTTTTGGGAGGGTCGCGAGGGATATAAGTCATCTGTGCTCATAAGTACTAGTGTCTGAAGGGATATAAGCGTCTCAGACCACCAGGTATACATTTGTCACACTGATAAAATCTTCATGATGCACTGATGTATCCTTGTAACGCCATTCGTCAGTAATGAGATACCCAAAAGCGACAGTAGTCAGGACATATCAGATAAAATAATGAGTCTGAAGGCAAACTCAGCCGGACGTAAATCAAACACCTTTCGAAAGGTGATAAACACGCATTCAAAGAGTCATATGGCCCCGGCAAACCTCATCATCGATTATGAGAAAATAAATTTGGACTCACCGATGAATATATCGCGACTACAAACGACGAGTCTATGCGTTATCGTCGTCATAATCATCATCTGTCAATTCCTCTCCCTCTTGAATTCCTTGGTGTCTCTGAAATCCTTCACGCCGGGCCCACGAACGGCCATCGGTGTAGGGCATTATTCGTAGGGGTAAAACGAGGGTATACCACGGACTGTGAAGAGGAGGTTAGAAGAGTAAATTAAGAGAAGGCCACAATTTACTATCCGTCCGGACCAATGTTAAAGAAAAGGCGCAGATTAGTGCTCATTCTAAAACAAAATCGGAGTATTACGCCTATGCCCGACGTTCTAGCATCCTGCTTACCCAAGGTCAAAAGAATTTACAAAATTCTGCAAAGCGTATCAGCATGTAAATGGTCGTGCCCATAACCACATACATCGCCTCTGTCCTTTGCAACGCGCTTGTAGATTTCATGATCTTGTGCCTCGACGGTAGTCTCTCCACGAGCAATACCCCACAAATGCCAGCAGAGCATTATTAACACTGCAATGCAAATGACAACAGAGAGCATATAGGTGAGGATATAAGCTAGCTCTGGCACCATATAGGGCCAGTCGTTCTGTGATATGTAATGAGCATTGGCTGAATGATATTGATGAAGCGACTGCACAGAATACGTGAGGCCGACTGCCTCTAGCGCTTGAGAGTAACCCAGAATGCTCAAGAAAAAGGTCGATAATACTAGGTAAGCCCTGATGGAAACGCATGAGCTGGAAATTGGGAGGAGGTGGAACTTACATAAATAGGACGAAATGCCTCTCATTGTTTAGTCCGACGCATTGGTTTATCCCTGCAGGGAGCTAAAAGGGACGAGCACGCTAAAGTAATAAAGACTTACACTAGAATAATCAACCAACGGGTAAGCAATATCCCACGAACATAGTGCTCAAGCATTTACAGGACAATGATGATCATATTTCATCACACACCGACCACATATCCGACAATGGTGGGCCCTCTCCGTGAAGTATAAATCAGTCTCCTGTGCTGCGTCAGAGTAGGCGTACTCACTTCGGGGCGCATGAATCCACACCTCCTACACATAGTGTTACTCGCTGTCAATAGCGTGATACCATGGTTGGACCACCGAGCTCCTGCGCTCGGCCGTTGAGAAGGCGAGGCCCAGAGTCGACCACTCCCTGGCTGCAAGACTTCACCTTGGACGAATCCAGGTGGCACTGTACACACATAGTAGTAGTGCGTGAAGAGGTTGAGTGCAATGAGTACACAAGGGGGTGTGGTAAGCCAACGAAGGGGAAGGCTGGGTTGAATCACGGTGACTAGGATTGAAATTTAGGTGAGTGTTACAGTGTATACAATTAGACAGTAAACCACACACAAAAGCTGGCTACTCCAATTGCCTGCAGTATTACTGCAAGCCCAACAAAATATGGGCCCGCTGCGCCCGTGACGCGGTCTCCAGCCCGCTCAAGCCATTTGAAGCACCGGAAAACGTGACGAGCACAAAACATGAAGAAGAAGTATAAATGAGAAACCTTGGCCAAGCGAGTCTACGATGACCTTGTATTTGAAGTGTTGTTGATGAGCGTCTGGAAGAAAATTAGTGCGAGAATCTGGAGACCCACATCCGAAGCCGAATCAATTTCTGACGTGTCACTGGCAGTGTCGGGGACAGAAAGGAATTGGCCTCTTGGCAGATGGTAGAATGGCAACGGCACTGGCAATTGGCTTCTTGGCAGAAGTCGGCAAAATGTATTAATTGTGAGCGTTTTTAGCTCTTTTCAACTGTTTCTACTATGGCAAAAATGGGTTTGACTACTACTACCAGCTAGTACACCTTCTGATGTCAAACGTGCATCAATATTCCACTCTGAGCCTCAATTGAGTACATCAATCTCTTCGATGAAGCCAATTGGCATGATACCTTTGCCAGCCCTCTCTAGCTCACTCCA